CGCGGTCCCAGGCACACCATGCCCTTTGGCCACAACCAGCCTTTTCTCCAGTTGGTTCCACAGTGGGGAATGTCCTCCCTCCTCTCCCCCTGCTCTTCATGCCCCGGGCCAGCCCTCCTCCCCTCCGGATGGACCATTCAGTGGAGTAGTTACCCAGACATTCCTCCCTCTGCTGCCGAGGACCTGCTGTTTTAAGGACCAGCCTCGGCGCCCGCAGGGAATCATACCCAGACCTAGTCTCAAAAGATGACCGTCTGGGAGAGGAGACAAGCATATAAATTTGGGAATTACAGTATGCTGTGACAAGGGCGATAAGGAAAGCCTCCAGAGGTACACGGTAGCATAGAGGAAGACAACTTTACAACGGAGTCAGGGACTCCTTCCCCAAGAAGGCGTGGTGGGCCTTGAAGCACAAATCTAAGATGGACATGGAGTCAAGGATGTTCCAGGTAGAAGGAACCACTTGTGCCAAAGCCCCTAGTTGGGCAAGAGTATGATGAGCTGCTCAGCATGCTTGGAGGGAAGTGCTCGCCGACAGCACGGGGCCGTGAGCTTGGAGGAGAATAGGGAGCCAGGCCCCAAAGGGAGTCTGGACGTCATCCTGAGGTCAAAGCAAGCGAAGGCAGGCTCCCATCCGCGTTTTAGAAGGACGCGTGTAGGGAATAAACTGGAGCAGGGAGAAGGTGCACGGGGGAGGGGGAGTTGGCCGAGGAGGGAGGCTGAGAAGAATCCCAGCCGGAGTGGCAGGGGCCGGGTGGGGAGGGAGACAGGGCGCGGGGATTGAGGTGGCAGAACAGGTAGGAACTGGAAATCAGGGAATCAAATGGGTGAGGATGAGGGAGGGCCGGGGAAGGCCGCTGCTGCTGAGCGAGGCCCAGGGGAGCAGTGGGTGGATCCAGACAAAGCCAGAGCTGTGGGCCCTGTTGGCCGCCTCCCTCTGGCCTCCCAGCGCTGTTCCCAGGGCGCCCACTCAGAGCAGGCCCAGCGCTGCGTGCCCCGCCACGGTGGCGAATCAGACCATGCTGGGACCCCGCACTTGGACCTCAGTAAATCAACCGGAGGATGGAGGATTGCCCGGGTGAAGGAAACAGGGTGGCATGGGGAAGAGATGAGAGGCAGGGCTGGGACTGGCTGTTTGGAACTGGGGGCCCAGGGAAGGAAGGCTGTCAGCTGAGTCGGGACCTGAAGGGAGGAAGGTGCTTGGTGTGTGCAGGGGTGGGGTGGGGCAGGGAGGGGGGGCAGGAAGACGGTGGGAGTCCTTTGATAGACCGGGTGGCCTGGGGAGGACCCGGGAAGCCACCTGAGCTCCTGCTCTGTCGTTTTATTATTCATCTTCTTGGCCATGACCTTAGCTCTAGATTTTTTTTTATTTTTTGGTACGGTTTTATTGAGTATACTTCCCATACAATTCACCCATGTGAAGTGTAGAATTCGGTGGTTTTTAGTCCTAGACTGTTCACCCAGTTGCAGTCATCAGCATGGGAAGACACCCTGTAACCTTTAGCCGGCACCCCTATTTCTCCCACACACCCCCCCCAGCTCTAAGCACCCACCGATCTACTTTCTGTCTCTCTGGATTTATCTGGAAATTTCATAGAAATCACATAATATGTGGTCCTTTGGAACTGGCTTCTTTCTTCTTTCTTTTTTTTAAGATTTTATTTATTTATTTATTTGAGAGAGAGAGAATGAGAGATAGAGAGCACGAGAGGGAAGAGGGTCAGAGGGAGAAGCAGACTCCCTGCTGAGCAGG